TATTTTTATCATCGTTCGTCCTGATTATGGGTGGTTGGGGAGTGCTACTGGTTGGACCTCCTTTGATCATCATCAATGCCTTTCACCCCTCCAGGGTATAGGCCACATACAAGCTCCTTCCATTTATCTCTGTCCTGAGCCATCCTTTTACACCTGGCAGGGTATAGGCCACATACAAGCTCCTTCCATTTATCTCTGTCCTGTATCATCCTTCCTAGTTCGTTCTGTAGGTGTGTCCCTTCCAGGTCCTCTTTTACTTTCCCCCCCCCCCCCCCCAAAATAAAAATGGCAAAAACAAAAACAAACCCAAAACCCCCCACAACAACCCAGATATTTATAAGACAGGCTTAGCGCCGCTCACTGAAAAGTGGATCAATACTTTTGGACTGCGTTTTGACAGCAACAGCTACAATCCCCTCCCCCTAAAAAACCCAAAACAAAACAAAATAGAAAACGACACCCCCCCTCCCCCCACACACACAAAAAAATACAACAACAACAAAAACACCCGCAATGGAAACCCATTCAAGTTTGGTTGCTCAAGACTCTTGAACATTGAATTCAAGCCTATTGAAAAGATACAGGTCTCCCCAAAACTTTCCATATCAAACAACTCCCTCTTGAATTGCCCCTGCAGTTATAACTGAAGGTCTTACGTCCCTCCCCCACACCCCCCTCCATTGTCTTTTCTAGAGAGTGTCACCGCGCATTTACAATTTTGACAAGCCTAGCCACAGTCTCGTTGGCTGCAGCTTCAATATTTTTTGGCCAACTTGATAATTAGGCTGCTGATTGCCTGGAAATGGCAAGCCTCGGGTGAACCGTCGAAAAAGACATTTAAAGTCAAAAGTATTGTTTTTCAGCATCGTACACAATACCTTCTGTTTCAAGCATCGGCTAAAAGGCTGCATATGACCAAAGTTGGCCAGTACTAAATTATGTTTCGGAAGTATGAAACAATTTAATGTCGTGATAATGGTGAACGTAGAAAGGTGTAAAATGGAAATAAATCACATGTATTTAATCTTAAATGTAGGTGTTTTTTCGCCTCCATTGAAACAATTTTGATCATTTAGGAAGTGAACGTGAACCCTGGCTTTCAGGGCTAAGTAGAATACAACGTCCCAGCAGAACGACTGAAATACTCGATAAAAATTCTACCCCACACGGGAGTCGAACTGAAATCTTCTGCCTAGGACGGCAAAGCATCTAGTCACTAGACAGCAGACACTAGTCACGAATATTGTAAGTACACGAGAAAAAACAAAACAAAACAAAACAAAAACGATCACTTCCCATTTATTTTAGTCGTTTACGCAACGTACAAATCCGTCTTTCTTTTGGTGTTGTGTATAATGTTTAGATCTATTGTATTATATCAGCGCCGCAGACTTGGCGGTCTACGTTCTCTCGAGCTCTGCTGAGGTCAAGCGGCCAATTTCACAGTTGATGAATTCTTTTGTTTTACACATTGTTGATCGGTCACCAGTACGTGCAGTTCCGTGGGTTGAGAGAATGGCTAACGAAATAGACGATACGCCCACATCTAGATACCCACATTCCTCTTCGCTTACCGTCTATACCCCTCCCACACATACATACCCCCCCTCCCCACGCACACACGCATGCACGTACCCCGTCCCCCTCTCCCAAACACAAACACGCACACACACGCCCACGTATAAGCAAGCGCGTACACTGATAAAAAGCCCACGGAAACGTATGCTTATTCGGAAATTGATTGGCAAAAGCAGATGGTCATGAGCGATTCTTGTAAATGAACGTGAGTCGACATATTGTTGGGTTTGATGTATACTGCATCGAGACAAACAAACCCTAATTTAGAGATCAATTCACATACCGATGGCATGGATAATATTTGAATCTTGGATGTCCAAAATGATTAAAAGACAACACCAT